GCCGCTGTGGCCGAGGATGTGGTCCACCGTGTGTCTGTATCTGATGTGACAGGCGGAAGGGGGCGGGGAGGACACAGATCTGCTAGGTATAGCTTTACAGGTGTCTCCTGCACTTTTCGAGCTACAGTTCTCGCTAAATTATCGGTGCTGACCCTGCTTTTACCTTGAAAGCGTCGGGATTTTGATCTTTTATCGTTTCACGGGACCACAAATCGTCACACTGTTTGCTTTTGCTATAGTATAAAAATTGGTCTAGCAGAAGTGTTTGGCTTTATACAACTTTTAAGAGAAATTCTGGGAAATGATGCCGGTGTCCCACGGCAAACAAGTGAAGCGTGTGTCAACGAAACTGCCCCACCGTATTCAGGAATTAGATGCAAGTCAAGTCATAAGGATTTCAACGCCGCTACGTTATTCCATTGGTTACAGGAATCGCTGAAATGGCATTATTGACACTACATTCACACTTCATCGTTTGAAATGATAATGGGCTAGCAACTTCAGTACGTACCACAACGCACAGAAGCAGGCCTTCAGGACATGGTCTCGCCAGCGGAAAACGTGTAGCGAGCGATAGCCAACGCCCGGAAAGGTTTGCGTGACCGCTTTTAAATTGTTCTGGCTAGTGTCATGATGCCAAGCAACGCATCATTCCTTCTCATGTCGAGGTGCCGGGTGATCCGCAATCGCCTCGTTATGTTGCCGCTGTTTACGCTGAAATTCCTGCGGTAGTTTATTTAGCTGCAGTATCGACTCCCGTCCTGCACGTGCGCAGTGATCTGGATTTACACCCGACGCGGGGCGGGGCGGGAGACCGGCGAAGGACGACCACGAGCCAACCACGACAAACAAACCTTCCCAGTTGGATCGGCACCCGGCTGCATGGTGTTGGCCTGGTGGTTCCGTGGAGCTAGCGCTAGGCACATGGCTGCTCCACCTCTGCAGTTTTCCAATGTGCAGGTGCTATAATTATAGCACCTGCAGGTTATAGCAATTGCTGTGCGACAAAGGTGTGTCTCATGCTGCCTCACTGGGCTGGGCAGGTAAACAGTTTCATAGCTTTCAGCGTTAGCCGTACAAACTGAATTAAGCTGTGTGAACCCTTCTCAGTTCTCCGGTCTTTCACGAAAGGGCAAGGCGGTCGCCGCGGCAAGTCGCAGTGGTTCGGAACAAGATTTACTTCGGAGAGCGTAACCGTATTACAGCGCTCCGGCGCCGTCCAACCGCAATGCTCTGGTGAAACCGAACTCAGCTCTGGTGCTGTGTCACTGTCGTCCGCTCATCACTAATTCATGCAGTCATGGTCTGCACTCACATGGCGCATTCTGCGGGCCTTGATTCTGCGCTGCTTAGTGCTTATATAACGCCGCATGGGACTCTCGGATGACCACATCCACGTGGCGTTTACACATGTTCTGTTGATGTAAATAACGAAGCCCGAAGTGCCTTTTCAGATTTTGTGAGAAACGTGTAGGCAACTAAAACATTTTTATGGCGACAAAATTGGTCTGTTGTTTCTGTAAGAGTATCGTTTTCTCTTCCTACATCGTTTATCAGGACTGTAAAGCTACACTGAAAACAATTTAACCTAAGGCTGGCGAGTAAACCGGTGTTTTACGGGTACCCCTATCCGCAACCATTTTTAACCACCCTCCCAAGAGTAGTGCTAGGTCCCATTGCGGTGTAGTCGTACTTGCTCTGAGCGGATATAACCGCTGTCAGCGAACAAGTCCGCTGAGAGCAGGGACGACTACACTGCAATGGGACCTTACTGTACTCCTGGGAGGGTGGTTAAAAATGGTTGCGGATAGGGGTACCCGCAAAACACCGGTTTACTCGCGGGCCTTGGGTTAAATTGTTTTCAGTGTAGGTCAGGGCTCAAACCTATACCTATTATTACAAATCGGGCGAATTACGATACAGGCTCCCGAATCATGCGATCTATTAATTGCGATCTAGGTATAATCTATTAATTATTATAATATATTGCGACTTGCGACTTGTATCTAATGAATTGATGTTAGGCACCCTGGTGATTTGGCATTTATCTTCCTATTTGCAAATTTATTTAATTGTTAACGTTTATCTAATTTAAATATTTTTTAATCGGAGTCATGAACCTGTTAGCCTTAATATTAAGTTGACTTATAGAAAAGGAATGCTAATAGGGAAAGACGCGAAATGGCATAATTAGGTAATGGCTTAATCGTCACCTTGGGCCCCTTATACCCAAAATTATCCGTATATAATGAATGTGTGTTGCTCGTTACACACAGTCATTGCATCCGAACCATCAACCCATCCCTCACGAATAGTAGATAGATAGCTGCACGTTACGCATGGAAACACGCCATTAATAATGACAATTAGATGGACATTTGTTTCTGCTAATAGGCCATGAGCATATGTTCTCTATTCATAGCTCTCATAGTGATGCAAGTTGGCCCGGTGTTACTATTTATAGCTTTGTGACGTAAGAGCTATCTGCTCATGGGGTTGTCCGGTAGTCGGTCAGGACACATGTAATCACATGGCGGCCGTCCACCGCTCGTTTTGTGCGGCGCGGTTCCCATCGCGTGGTCCGCGGACCTCACATCCATTCACAGTGAAAGGAGCCCTCGGCCGGCCGCTCGGCTCGCTCCACGGCCCGGCTGCCGCCGTCGTAAAAACGGCTCAGCACCGCGCTTTTACGCTCATGGCAGTAGCCACGGGCCACGGACCGTTTTTGACCCAGTAAGCGTCGGTTCTGCCGTTTCTTACACCGACTCCAGACCCACGACCCGCTTCCCAAAGAGGTCGACTCGTTTCGAGCGATGTGCTCAAGGCAGAATGCTCCTTCATGCGTTTATCCTATTGGAAGTGCCATCCATGGTGAATTGGTGACCCATGGCCCGTGGCTACCGGCATGAGCGTAAGAGCGTGGAGCAGCCGTGGCGCAGGGCTGCAGGTTGTGCACGCCTCATGCGGCAGGATTCGTGCGCCGCGGGCTGAGAGAGACGGTAGTCGCGTATAAAAAGGCGAATCCATTGGTGAATGGACGTTTAACCCGCGCCCGGCTGGGGGTCCTGGATTTCTACGCCCTGCTGGGGGCGGGGTGTTTGAACACCCCCCCCCCCCCTTGTAACTCGGCTCCTGGGCCACGTAGCGATACGCGGAAGGCGGCGTTCGAAAGAGCGTCAAAAATAATGACGAAATCACTTCAGTCAATATTTTGGTCAGGGCAAAGGTCAGGTCACCAGAGGTCATTGAAGGCAAAATTTCGCCGATTTCCAGGTCGAATATCGAAAATTTCCAAGAAGCCAACGCATAACTCGGGAACCAATAGAGCTACAGCGACGCAGAAAAGCGCATTCGATAGCCCTATTAACGCCCTTTCTGATTAATTCTCTCAGATTTGACCTAACGTTAACGGTTTTGCCTGCAGGGGGCAAAAACTGCAAAAATAGCCGATTTTTTTCGGAAGCAGTTTTTCTGCAATAATTTTTGACCCAAGCCTTGTACGAGCTTACTTTTACCGGCATCGTGTTCCTCTCGTCAAGACAAATCGAATGAACTATAAGTTGACCTTGAAAGGTCAACTTGAAAATTTGACCTCAGGTCAAGTTCATGACCTGACCGGAAAGGGTCATGTTGCATATCAGTCGATCCGTATCGTCGAGCTGAACACATCTAAGGCGTTTTCATCGCTCTAGCATGCCTCTATCAAAAGTTATTTGCGAAAAACTGTTAAGTACCATTCGTGACCTTAGATGACCTCAGGGCATAAACAAGGGTCACGGACACCATTTTCATGTTCAGTGTGTCTAAACCACTTGTAATTCGGTGTTTGGGAGTGTTTATAATGTCTTTCGTCCAAAAGAGGTGCATTTCAATTTTCTCCCATTGACTTATAATGGGAAGGTCGCAAAATTGACCTGACCTTAGGTCATCGATATCAAAATTCTGAGATATGCATTTTGTACATGCTATTGCTCTTAGCAATCGCTGAAAGTTTCAAAGCGATCAGTCACTCGGTGTAGATATGACAGACATTGAAACTTTTTATGAGGTGAGGTCACTTCAAGTGACCTGGTGACCTGACCTTGAATGACCTTGGTCTGAAATTTTTACAACATGTGTAGAATTGATGTATGATAAGGTGCTCGCAAAAAACCACAAGGGGGGTGTTCAAACACCCCCCCCCCCCAGCGGGGCGCGGGTTAAACAAGTACAACCTTTGTTTTGGCGAAATTTGCAATGACCCATTTCCACGTAAGAACATATTTTTCCATTTGCATTCCTTAAGGTCGCCTATGGCCATTTCACGTGACCTCACTTCCAGAGTCCAGAAAGAACATTAAGATACTTATATCGACCCCAAGTAAACGCGCTAACTTATAACCTTCTTTAAAACTAGCATTGCGTTATTAAAACTAGCTGTATCTAAGCGTGGACGGACCGAGCAGATACTTACCTTGTATTCAATTTGATATTTTGTTTTTAGTTTCTTTTCAGTTTGATAATAGTTTTGAGTAGGAATCGAGATGATCCGAAACTGCTATCTTTTATAAACGAATACACATCGATCGATCGACTCCGAAGTGTGGCTTATAATAATTTGATAGGTATCTAATTCTTCCGACCCCGAGAGGTCATTTTATTTTATTTTATTTTATTTGCCTTATAGGTATATAGGTACATACTCGAATCCACTGGTGGATGGACGTTTAAACAAGCCCAACATGTCACTATCAATATACGTACATACATATTCCTATATGCTGGTCGTCTGTGTTATATATAGATATTGACGCTATTATTATGTATAAGTAGATAATGGCTATACGTATTATATCATCCATGGCTAATTATACCATGCTTTCATAATAACCGTAGTAAACATACATAACAATGCAATGAAGTATATATCGTTCGAATGTTTTTTTTTGCGATGTATCTCGAACTTATTTCACGAGCTATGAGCCGATTTGTTCGGAGGAGTAACCTCAGTTAAATGTCGTTTTTCTTTGATACATTGACGAGTGACGTTGTGTTCTTGACCTAAATTCTAAAGGTCGTTCTCTACGACCAGCATAAAGTGACTGGCCCATTGTTCGCTAGCATTGTCATACGTAAGAAGAATGTGGTAAAGTACCTAAATGGTAGTCTCTAAATTATATCACTGTAAGTGCGAAGGAGTGTTCAAGTGCACATTCTGAAATAACGTTCGGCGGTTTGAATGAAAAGTATGATTTTGAATGAATGAAAAGTATAATTTTGTAAGGAGGTCATTCAAAAAACAATTAAACGATTAAAATAAATGCCTTACATTCAGCAAGCACTTAACGAATTAAAAAACGTTCGGCGGTGTTTCAGCGGGTGCGTATTATTTAGGCCAGGGTTCATAATGTCCAGGGCATGATGTGTCCAGTGCTCGAAATGGCCAGTGCCTTGAATTGGCCAGTGTTCATATTGTCCAGGGATTACATGGTCCAAATGTGGCCAACTGGCTGCAGATAGGGTAAATTCAAGGAGACCAGGGTTCATAATGTCCAGGGCACGATGTGTCCAGTGCTCGAAATGGCCAGGGTTCATAATGTCCAGGGCACGATGTGTCCAGTGTTCGAAATGGCCAGGGTTCATAATGTCCAGGGCACGATATGTCCAGTGTTCAAAATGGCCAGTGCCTTGAATAGGCCAGAGTTCATAGTGTCCAGGGATTACATAGTCCACCCAACCCAACCAAACCTAACCTATCCTAACCTATCCTAACCTAACCTAACCTAACCTAACCTAACCTAACCTAACCTAACCTAACCTAACCTAACCTAACCTAACCTAACCTAACCTAACCTAACCTAACCTAACCTAACCTAACCTAACCTAACCTAAGGTAATGATGTTTGCCTACCGGGGATAAGGAAATAGTTTCTCGCATGAATAGATTGCAAGCAATAGTAAATCAAATATTTTTAGGTTAAGTGGTTATGCATCAGGCTTCAGGCCTTCGGCCTGAAGCCAGATACATAACCACTTAACCTAAAAATATTTGATTTACTATTGCCTGTAATCTCTCCTAAGGCATTGCCTTCGGCACTGCACTGCTTCGCATTGAGCTGGTTCCGTGTTTTTTACATAATGACGTCACTTTCAGTGACTATGTAATCCCTGGACACTATGAACTCTGGCCTATTCAATTCTGGCCTATCCATTTTGAACACTGGACACATCGTGCCCTGGACATTATGAACTCTGGCCATTTTGAACACTGGACACATCGTGCCCTGGACATTATGAACCCTGGCCATTTCGAACACTGGACACATCGTGCCCTGGACATTATGAACCCTGGCCTCTTTGAATATACCCTATCTGCAGCCAGTTGGCCGCATTTGGACCATGCAATCCCTGGACATTATGAACTCTGGCCCATTTAAGGCACTGGCCATTTCGACACTGGGCATAACGTACCCTGGACATTATGAACCCTGGCCAGAATGAATGCTCCCCGTTTCAGCTGGTCCAGCCCACGAAGACAATGACGAGAAATATGGAGCAGAGTACCCGGTCTGCTCTCCACATTGCCTTCAGTGTCGTCGGACTTATCAGCTTTTTGCTGGTCCTGTTCTTCAACGGGAGCACCAACAGCCCCGACCTCGGTATGTGTAACGGCATCTCGTACCGTTCATTCATTTTGTAGCGCTGTTCGCGATAGAATGAAGAGTCGCTCACCATAACTCTTCTAACCACAGGTTGTGTACACCTAACCATTATAATATATAGTCCAGTGCTTTACACACATACGATCCGTGCATTAAGTTGTCTTTAGGTACTATACCTACATTTCATTCCATACCTGCTTGAAACGCGTATTGCTGTGAAACGTAAACGTCCCTGACACATAAGTCTCCAAACCCTCGGCGCCATTTTAGCGATATGACTTGTGTATAGGGCATGCTCAATGTTTTCTTTATATTTCAGGCATATTTAGCCAGCCGACGGGGAACGTCTCGGACAAGTTCAACACCTACATCACGCCCTCCGGCTGGACGTTCATCATCTGGGCCATCATCTACACCTGGATGGCGGTGGCCATCATATACGGTAAGTAAGTTATGCAGGCGATCCATATATGTAGTGAGCCGGCTATCGCGGGGGTCCCCTTCCGTCAAACGGTGTCCGTATAACCGGCAGCACGGGCCGGTCAGTATCGATCGTCCCCGCGAGTCCTACTGTATGTACAGTAGGTCTACAAAATAAGTCCTCTCCGTATGCGGGTCACCAGTGGGCAGTTAGCGCCTGAGCACTACTCAGGCGCTACCTGCCCGGATACGGAGAGGACTTTTTTGTAGACCTACTGTACAATGCATACAACCGGATCGACGGTTCGCATTTCAGCGTGCTGTGTGTGTAGAAGGGCGCTCAGAATCGATAACGGGATGTGGACTAAACTACGACTGTGGACATTGGATGGTTTTTAGGTGCAAATTATCAGCCAACTCGGTCGACGGGTCAATTTTCAGCGGCGGCAGCTATTCCAACCGCTGACTTTTTTTGTCTCGGGAGCCGGGCGTAAATAACACATGCGTTTGGTATACACGGGTCTCTGTTATTGACCGGGAGCGGGTGGGGGCACCTCTCTCCTCCCCCTCCCCGTGCCTGGCACGTGGCGTCGATGGCATCCGCACTGTAAACAGCGCAGTAATGAGGGTGGCCGGGGTATTGGGACGGACACTCGGCGCAGTCGCATCGGCAAGCCGTGTGGGTGGCCTCTGAAGCCTGAGGTGCTCAAAGATATAGTGTCCTGGCCGCTACAGTAATTTTATTAATTAACTCGTCTTTCTACCCATATACACGTGCTAGATTTTCAACGTGTTATATCTTTACCTAATGTCAGTCTGTTGTGCCCATTCTCGTCTTATCTTATGCATGCTGGTTCGCGTTCCATTCAGGCAGAAATCGCAACTCTGGCTTGTGATTTATCCTCTCTCGTCTGTCCCGAGAAGGAAGTGAGCGATCGGGATCTATAAATCCTATCACGGGATTGGCCACTGATCCTGAACTATCGATGCGTTTAGGCCGTATGATGAGATCCGAGAAATAAGCAGAGCGGAGCCTCGCTTCGCTAGCTGTCTGATCAACCGCTGTCGTACAAACTTACACATGCATACGTCATAGGTACGTATACATGGGGCGTCGTCACAGCCGGGGGACACGAGCTGCACAGACTGCGTACATTATGCGTCGGGAGGTGTGGTCACGTCACGGCCGGGGACTCGAGCTGGAGCGTGCATGTTACACGCGTCAGGGGTGTCGTTTTGTATAGGCCTGGGAGTGCCCGAGCACTACCAATGTTCAGCTGAGCACTACCAATGTGTTGTTGAGCACTACCAACATTTTTCTTCACTTATTGAGAAAATTGCATTCAAACATGTCATACAAATAAAATGAATGAGGTTCTTATGTATAAAATCAACATGATAGCAAGTAACTTCAATGGTAAGTGGTAACTATTGATGAAATCTATAGACTTACTCCACAAGTAGATTGAATTTGAATTGGTTGACCAATTCAATCTTCTTGTAGCGTACCTAAGTCCATAAATTTCCATCAATACCTAGGCATCATTTTCACTTTCCACATCATGTCATTACGTCAAGTAATTTCAAGTTATGTGGTACCTATACCTACCTACCTACCTACCAAGTTTCACAATAGACTCAGGGGCGTCGTTTTGTATAGGCCTGGTAGGGCCCGAGCCTTACCAATGTTTATTTGGGCCCTACCAATGTTCGCTGAGCCCTACCAATCTTTTGTCACTTATCAGTTGATAAAAAGCAAAATAAACAGATAAGCAAATATTAAATAAGCACATATGCAAGTACATAAATAAGGTTCTAGCCACAGTAGGTGCATGTAGCTGACAATGAGGTTTCACGTGTCTAGGACTCCGGTCCTTAACTCATTAACGCCGAGTGGCAACTATAGTTGCCATCTACAAAAACCTACTGCTGAAGGCAAGTTAATGACGTCAGAACAGCATTTGTGGGATGCCTAATCAGCATAGTCCCTTCTCATCATGATCAGACGGTTTAATTAGTCACGTCCTGTGCGCAACATGCTTCACAAATCAAGAAATAGTCAGACGTTGCAGAGACGGCCGCCATATTGGCTTGACGGTCCCGAAGAAAACGACGCTGTTTTTCCAGAGTGTCCGGTATTTCCGAGCATTTTCGGCTTATTTTGATCCAGAAAGGATGTAGGCAGGCTACCAGTGTCTCAAAACTTGAAAGCACTCTACTCATTTGTAGTTATTTGTACTAGATTTGTACTTGGCAACTATAGTTGCCACTCGGCGTTGGCGTAGTCAAAAATATGAGCGGTTCATAGTTAAATAGTTGTATTTACGGATATACTGTAACGAAACATATGTTATTCAACCAGACTGTCCCCGTGTAGACTTTTGCAAATAAATTAACAATTAAGGCAGAAATTAATTAAAAAATACATGCATGTCTATACATTACCATAGTGAACCCTACCCCCATCCATTGTTTTCTTGGTCTATTCTCGACATTGTTAAATCTGTTTATGTTTATCATCTACTGAAGATATTTTTGTGGAATGGGATGCAATCTCGCTTTCTCTTTCCTCTCTCTCTCTCTCTCTCTCTCTCTCTCTCTCTCTCTCTCTCTCTCTCTCTCTCTCTCTCTCTCTCTCTCTCTCTCTCTCTCTCTCTCTCTCTCTCTCTCTCTCTCTCTCTCTCTCTCTCTCTCTCGCTCTCTTTCCCTGTTCCTCCACTGGCGGATGCAGGAAACATTACGGACATTCATAGCTCACAGAGTCCGACTTGCCCGATTTTGTTTCGTTTTCTTTGTAAAGAAAGAGAACTAAAACGGCATTTATACGATAAAGATTGCCTACGATTGCACAGTAATGCATTTATAACAAACCGAAATCCGAGAAGTTTAGGTACGAGAATTTTCAAACCCTGCTGCGTGTGATATCACCTATCACCTTTCTGGATAAACCAGAGTCGCTCTCGCTTTCTATGTCGAAGACTATGCTTTGCTGGTTTTTCCTAGCGTTCGTTAGTCGCGCCACTTGCAGTATGCATAACCAAACTCAGGCATGCTCATCTGCAGGCACCGTGCCATGATGCTAAATCGTGTGACCAGCTCGTGTTTCAATTTGGAGGGGCACGTAGGTATTAAGCCTATTTGCATCAACAAATTAAGTTTTTAGCATCGTAAAGACGCTGTATGACGTTTACAAACAGGGACCCATAAACGAAAGCTCCCCCACCTCCTCCCCTGAGCTCCCATTGACGCCGATTATGACCTTGACACAGTCGTGATACCGAATTGATTCCGATGAAGCTGCTTGCTATCTGAACTTTCACAGCAGATGCTGGTGATTCAGCTGAATGAGACGGTGGAGGCGGCTTTGTGCTTTGGGTTTCGTGCGAGGATAACAGCACACGAAACTTTAGGTTACGATCACGTAGCTGATGTTGTCTCATGGGACTGAATGAAAATTGTGAACCAAAGGCGAGACATCGCCTGACTTGGGGCAGTGCTGATTCCTGGCACTGCCAGCTGGAAACGAGGAAATGGGGATTCAGGTGGTAGAAAATATGTGGGCCTGTTCAGTTGTCCTAAACTAGATGAAATTGAACTATATTTTTATGACACGTGGAATGTGTTCAAGTGCAAGTAGTGGTGGTCGCCTTGTACTTACACCACTTTTACTCGTCAATCAACATATCCCCCTTCTTATTCTGAAGTACAACCGCCAGTGTGTGCTCGAGTCGCGTGATCACGAAAGGGATCCAATTTGTCCAGACTCTCGTCCGAACAGTCTAAAAAACATTCGAAGGCGAACGGATTTACTGGTTAGGTAAGGACAGCAGAAGTACGTACGTATGCGGGAATCAGAAATATACTATACAATTCCATGGCTCCGGTAGGCCTGTAATCAGCGTGCTCGCAAATAGGCATGAATAATCGAGTTGCTTTGTACCCCGAGTTTTTACAAATGTATCATACCCGGTAGAAAGTTTTGTGATAGGACGGTATACCTGCCATCAACCATGTACAGTATATCTAAAAAGTATGTCCCCTGGTTTGGCTCTCCCACAGGAGGCGAATCGGTAACTTGGCTGAATCCCAGTTGCGGCACCCGGCCGCCAGGGTCGCTGCCGCGCGAGCGGCCTTGACCGCTCGCATGTCATTGGCAGTTCGGTCCCTCCCCATCTATACCGAGGTGGGGAGGGGAGAAGAGGGGAAGAGAGGGGAGGGAGCGGCTTTCGCTCGGCACTTGGCGATACCTGGCTGACCCCGCGCTCCCTCGCTGACCTTTGTCCTGCCCTCAGGCGAAGACCAACTTCCAGGCCTGTAGCGGCCCAGCGGAAAACCGAGCTCGCGGGGCGCGACTCCATTGGCCCAATCTTATAAATGGAATGCTGTCGTATTCACGGCATTAGATAATATTAATAGTGATACCAGCAGTGGATGTGGTAAAATACAGTCCAAAATAAACGAAAGCACACGATTCGTGCATAATGCGCCCTCCCATTCAAATAAGCCCGCCCACTTCGATAGATGGTGTAGTTTCTTAGGGCGTAAAAGATGCAAAACACTACCGATTTTTTTTTTAGCTCGGCCACAGGGACCGACAATATACAATTGACTGAAATGCATGGAAACCATTTTGCATTTAGGTAATAGCCGTTTTCTGCACCCAAACTTTAGCCAGTGACACCCTGTCCATTCTAAAGCGTTTATAAGATTGGTCCCAGCACCCGATTTTATATGAGGAAGTCGTTTAAAAAGCATCTTATTTCTAACGAATTTATTATTATGGCCACTTTTACAGGACGTCTATAGAGCTTTGACTTTTACATTTCTTCCTCGTTCAGGAGAAACGTTTTAACCCTCACCGGACCTTCAGGTTTTCTGAATACCGAGGGGACATTGGGGGTTGGAAGTGAAGAAACAACCCCCTTCGCCGATTCGCCCCTAATTGAGCTAGAGCCTCACGAAAGAAACGATCGTGTGCGTCGTTACGAAATGCAGCGATTGTTCTCCGATTTAAGGACCAGG